GGGAGAGAATAACAATGAACGATCACTTCTGAAACCTTGCGGGTAAAATAGGCTTCTCAGGGACAACAGGTGACTCAAGCTATTCCTTGAGGTTGGTATGGGGTATGGAAGGGCAGAATAAAGGGCAGCATCTCAAAAAATTCCTAAGGGTAAGGACAGGTTATACCCTCAGTGGGTAAAGCTAGCTACATCTTTCTACTCCACAGCAGTAAATGGAGTCTGAATCCTAATGCCAGGAAACAATAAACTTCACAGTTCTGAATTCCAGCTCCTGTAAGAGACAATGAAGAAATCCCTGTGGCGATGCAGCTGAAACTGCTGGAGAAGCACAGTTCCAGAGTGTGAGGAGCTCTTGTGTGAAACACGTCATTGGGCATTAGGGCCCTAGAAGGATAAAGACCTTAGGTTTAGCCTTGCAACAATCCAGCAGTTGCCAAGTCCCCAGGCTCTAAAGAGAGTCCATCTTCGCTCCTGCAAAACCATCCCTCTGCCTTATCTCGAAAATAAAAGCTACTGAAGAATTCTTGGACATAGTTGGTAGGTCTATGATGCAATAGCTGCCGTGGAGAAGAGCATGGCAGCTTGTTATAGCTTGTGTCTAGATGTCCTCCACAAAGCCTCATGAGGTCATAAGTGGGGGGTTTTTCATAGGTGGCTGAATCTAGACTGTGGGATGCACTGGGCATGGTGGTACATGTCTATAACCCCAGCATTTGGATTTCTGCAAAGTCAAGGGTAGCCTGGGCTGTATAGTGAGTTCTAAGCCAATGGAACTACATGGTAAGACCATGTCTCAAAAAAAAAAAAAGAATAGCGTGTGTGATGCTGAGATTAAGGGTGTATGATTATTACATCAGTTCATTGAGTGATTTGGCACTGTCCTAATCCTGGTAGCCTAAATACAGTATAAAAGGGGCAGAAAGAAGCTGCTACGGTCCCTTGATTGCTTTGCTACCTTCTTTCTTTTTGAGACAGGGTCTCCTAGTTTAGGCTGGCCCTGAACTCAGTATGTAGCCTTCAAACTTCCAGTGATCCTCCTACCTCAGCTTCTCAAGTGCTAGGATTACAGGCATGCGTCACCACACCCGGCTGCTTTGCTACCTTCTGCCTGCCATGAACTTGTCTCCTCTAAGATTCCTATCTGCCATGCCACCTTGCCTTGGAGTCAGCCAATTATGGACTGAAACCTCCACAAACTGTGAGCTAAATAAACCTTTCCCTCTTTAACTTTGGGTGTCAGGTGTTTTGTCTCAGCAACCAGACACAGCTCTTCAAAAATTGAAACAGAACTACTACACAACTCAACACTTCAACTTCTGCATATACACTTAAAAGAACTGAAAGCAGAAGCAGAGTTATAAAGACCCATTTCATTTATATGCTGGGTTCAGTGGCTCCTGTCTGTAATCCCAGCACTGAGGAGGCTGAAGCAGGAAGACTGCTGCAAGTTCAGGGCCAGCCGGGGCTACACAGTAAATTCAAGGCCAGCTTGAACTACAAGCGAGACTCTGTCTCAAAAAAAAAAAAAAAAAAGTAAGTAAAGACATATTTGTGAGTTTGGCTTTTGTTGGTGCTAGGGAATGAACTCAAGGCCTTACCTACCTAGGAAGCGCTCTTCCACTGAGCTACATCTCCATTCCTGTTAAAGAGATGTCTGGACATTCATGTTTATGGCATTATTCTCTTTTTTGTTTTTTTTTTCCCGGTACCAGGAATCAAACTCACGACCTTGCGCTTGCCAGGCAGGAGCTGTGCCGCTGAGCTAAATCCCCAGCCCCCCATGGCATTATTCTCAACAGCCACAGGAACAGCAACTCAAGTGTGTGTGGAGAGATGAATGGATAAGCAAACTGCAGTATACAAAAATAATTCAATAGTACACAGCCTTTACAAGAGAATTGAGATGGGGATGTAGCTCAGTGGTAGATACTCATCTAGTAAGACCCTGAGTTTGATTCCCAGGACAAAAAGAAATGAGGAAAGAAATGAAATCATGATACATGCTACAGCATGAATGAACCTTGACGCTTTGTTAAGTCGAAAAAGCTAATCACAAAAAGACAAATGCTATACAATTCTACTTATATTAAGTACCTAGAGTAGTGAAATGCATAGAGATGCAAAACAAAATGCTAGTTTCGACTGGCTAGGGGAAACCATATTTAATGGGTACACAATTTCTGTTTTACAAGATTAAAAAATTTTAAAAACTTGCTGCACTACAACGTGTATGAACTTAACTCTGCTGAACTGTATATTCAAAAATGATTAAGAATGTAAATTTTATATTACTTAACCATTACTTTTAAAAATGTTCATGCTTATACATGCAAAAAAGAGAAACAAAACACACAACTATAGTACTATAACAGTCTCTCTCCCTTCTAAGAATAATTTGAGGGTTACATAATTATATCTTTGGTCTCCTTTCCTTTACCATAAGGATATTTCTAAAGTGCCTGAAATACAATGTTCAAAACGAGGATCACCCTCTTGTCTGCCAAACTCTTCCTTTCTCACGATTTTTTAAACCAAAAACCCAAGTCATCCTTGATTCCTCACTCTTCCTCCTCAGGTGCAATCATTATAATCTCCTTCTGTTTCACCTGCTAATCTCTTTGGCCCCTTCCAACACCATCACTTCCCCAGTGCTCATCACCTATAACTTCTACTTGGTTTATTCTACCAGGCTCCTAACCAGTCTCCCTTGCTTCTGCCTTCCCACTTGTTCCCCCTATTTGCACCAGAAGGAACCATGCTAAAAATCCAACCACATCAATCCTTTCCTTAGTACTGATGTACTAACGATCCTTCATTAGTACTGTTTCTCAAATAAAGGTGGTCTATAAGTCTCTACAAAGTACATACAACTCTTAAGGGCATCTATCTCATCTCATGTCCTGCCCCCACCCATATATGCTCTTCTGTATCCCACTCCTTGCATCTAAATATACTCATCCCCCCTTGATGGTTATTATCACTTCTTTCAGGAAGTCTTCCCTATCTCGACACCCCCTACAATCTGTTATATGCTCTCCTAGGTTATACATTCCTACCCCTCATAGCAATTACCTTTCATAGTAAAAATATGAGTGGTTATCAAATGTTTCACTTGCTGGCTGTAAGCCTTATAAGGACAGACTCTATGTCTATTTTATTGGTCAATGCATGTTTAGTCTGGCAAAGAGTTGGGCCAAATTAACTAATGGGATTAGGTCAAGTTGCATTTTTATGACAAAAATGGCTAGACTTTTGGAGTTCCATAAGAACAGTTGTCATTTCTTCTTGCTTTCTCAAATTCAGTGAGTTGTCCAGAACACTACCTCCAATGCAAAAAAAAAAAAAAAAATTCCTGTCCTGCAGATAGAACTTGAAATGCGATGCCTCCTTTCTGTTTATCATTCATCTATTCACTAGAACAGGGGCTGGGGATTTAGCTCAGTGGCACAGTGCCTGCCTGGCAAGCGTGAGGTCATGAGTTCAATTCCCGGTACCGGAAAAACAAACAAACAAAAGACACTAGAACACAGACTATGTCCTAGCTACATACAGATATGAACAATATCAAACATCTTCCCTTAAAGCATTTTCATTCTGATGGAGAAGCTAGAATGTGTTCTCATATTTCCCTGTTGGTGGTTTATTTGTTTGTTTGTTGAGATAGGGTCTTGCCTTGTAGTCCAGGCTGGCCTTGAACTCACTGTGTAGCCCAGGCTGGCTTTGAACTCACAGCAATCTTCTACCTTGGCCTCCACTGTGCGGGGATTACAAGAGTTATTTTTTTTTAATCCAATGTTAACAATAGCACAGGATCCAACACAATTTGAAACGATTCAAATCCTGGTTCCACTACTATGTACTAGCTGTGTCACATGGCCTCTCTGTGCCTTATCTTTTCTTCAGTAAGAATAAACATGAAGCACACTTTCTGGAATATGAGGCATAAGCAAATTAATGTACATAAAGCACTCAGCATAGTGTCTACAAGATAAGAAAGCCTCAATATCTGTTAGCACCTCAGAACATAAATATCCTCCACAGCAAGGCTTAGACCCCAAATCCTTTTTGGCATTATAGAACAGATCAAGGTAGGCTTGCCATTCAGCCCCCCAGTTTGTGGCATGCATTCAACACTTACATTCCTCTAAAACTATGGACATATCCACAATGCTACGACTTGATATGATAAACAGGAGCTCTGTGGTAATGTGGTCTTCAGTACTGTGATTTAATAAGTCTGCGTAAGCAACAGATACTTTCAGAAATAACACGTTAATATTTCAGGAAGTGAATGCTATGTCAAATAGCTGGTATATAAACACTAGATCAGTGATGGCAAACCTTTTCGAGCTTTTAATAATACAAAATAGCCCACTGCAGCATGAGTGCCATAGGTTCACCACCACTGCACTAGATGATATGGCTACCTTTGTCAGGTGATACCCTTCTTCACTGAACAACTAAAATACTGGTATTTCCTACTGATTTTACTTGATTTTCAACTAAATTTTGTAATTTTTCAAATGAATAGGCAAAGTCTTAAGAAAGAAAAATTATAAACAAACAAATGCAACAGATCTTTAAAAACTGCCACAAGGGCACAAGTGCCTGCCTGGCAAGCACAAGGTCCCCAGTTTAATTCCTGGTACAAAAAAAAAAAAAAATTGCCACGAGACATTTGTCTATCTAGGAGGTGTATTACACTGTGAATCAACAGTTACATTTAATTTAACGTTGTGGGGTACACTTGTAATCCGAACTACTTTGTTTTTTTGTTTTTTTGGTTTTTTTTTTTGCAGTACTGGGGATCGAACTCATGACCTTGCACTTGCCAGGCAGGTGCTTATGCCACTGAGCTATATCCCCCAGCCCCACTCCTAACTACTCTGGAGGGCTGAGGCAGGAGAATCCTAAATCTGAGGCCAGTGTGGGCAACTTAGGAAGACCTTGTCTCAAAATAACAGTGAAAGAAAATAAAGGGCTGGAGATGTGGCTCAGGGGCAGTGTGTTTGTCTAGCAAGTGGGAGGTCCTGGTTCAACCCCAGTACCACAAAAGTGTGAATATGCAAATAAAAACAATGTCTTCTATTGAAATAAGACCCAGTGTGATATATTTATGATCGTTAGTTGACAATGATATTCTTTTAGCCGGGGAGATAGTTGGGCATAAGCGCTTGCTTGGCAAGCCTGAGGTCATGAGTTCGATTCCCGGTACAAAAAAAAAAAAACCTCTTAATGGTATTCCTTTAACAATGCATTGGTCAACTGTAACAGAGTAGGCTTGTCGTAAATATGCCCTGGAGATAAATAAATGCAAGAAACATGCTCTCTATCCTTAAGGAGCCTGGTTTAGCAGACGAAATCCATATATTGCCCTACTGTGCCACATATACCAGATCTCTGCACTTTGCCATGTATGGCCTAAAGAATTCTATTTGGGGAAGGACCTGAGAAAGTTCTCGAGAACACCCTCGAACTAGGTCCATAAGATGAGCAAAAAAAAATTCTTCAGTGATAAAAAGATGGAACTGCAGGCTGGAGCAAACATAGAAAGCCATGAAATACCACGGTGTGTTGGGTCCTTGTAATTCTGCGCGGCTGGAACACAAGATTTGGAGGACAAGTAGAGGCTGACTTTACAAGTGTGTACTTTACAAAGAGAAGACACAGAAAAATCCCAGTGAGAGTAATGAAGTGATTGGTTTACACTTTCGAAGATCCATGGCTTCGTACTCTACAACTCCCACCAGAGGGCTGTCCTCTCTCACCAGGGGTACTCATTCAAGCTTCCCCAGCATTCACTGGCAACTTGCCCCCTTTCCCCATCCTCGGTCAGCGCAATCACCCCGTCCGTCGCGCGATCCCGCCCCACCTCCGAGCGCCCCTGTGGTCTGACTTCGGCAGCACTTTCCGGCAGGAGACTGGGCACTCGCTGTCACGGCGGTGGCCTCCCTCAACGTGATCTGAGCATCCATCTGGAGACTGACAGACCTGAGCTTCGGGGTGACCATCGCATTTGCCTCAGTTTCCTTCTCTCGTGCGGGGAAAGGCCCGGCTCTCAGACCACAGGCTGCTGGACGTTAGCAGCAGACGCTTAGGGAGAGCCGGCGCAGGGCGGACCCCAGCACCCCTACAGACAGGAACGAACGCCGCAGGCTCTGCCCGGAGACTGGAGCGGGCGAAGGAGCGCGGTAAGCGCGGCCGTGGGAGGGGAGGCTCACCGGTAAAAGGCAGAGTCTCCGAGTGGGTTCCAGTTTGCTGTGTAGCAACCCATGGCTGGTGCAGGTATCAGCTGGGTAGCTCTGAGGGAATCTCAGTCTAGTGCGGCCTCCAGGCCGGCACTTCCGCTTCCGCCCGTCCGCATCACGTGGCGAGGCCGTCACGGCGGCCATCACCACTGTGGGCAGCTGTCTTTGGCCGTTGCAGTACCCCAACCCGGGCTTCGCCCGCTCGGGTGGGCCTAGTCCCAGGCCCTGCCCCTGTGGAGGCCAACCTTTCCTTTCCCTTCCGGCGTTGGGGGTCTCAAAGGGCGGGACATGGGTGACCGGAAGTGGGCGCTGTGAGCGTTGTCGCTCCGGGGGCCGGGGGCCGAGGCCCGACGCGCCGTCGGGGCCACAGCGACGCACGCATGGAGAGTAATGGGCGTCGGGCTGCGCACAGACGGCTAGCCGGGACGCATGGGCTCTGCGGGGCGGGAGCTTTGCAGAACCGACTGGCCTCTCGGGGCGCAGGAACATGAGGCTTAACCAGGAGCCCGCTGCGGGCGACGCTGGTTGTGCGCGGCCCTGGCCTGCTCGCCGGTGAACGGCGCGGAGCCCCGGGACCCGGTAATTGGCGCGAGCGGGTGCGCGCGCGCGCGCATGCGCGGGGCGGCGGCGGGCACGTGGCGGGGCGCCTGGCTGCGCCGCGCGGGAAACGTCACGGTTCCTTGCAGGCCTGCTAGCCGGCGACACCCGGCCTGAGGTGCGGAGTGTGACCAAGACCGGCACTGCTATGGGCTCCCTCCTGCCGCTGCTACCTACCACCTCTCCGTAGCTCCAAGCATCTCGGGAGGGACTTGCGCAGGTTTCGTTTATCCCAGGGCGGGCCCTCGGGCCGACCTGCCCTGTGTCCCCGCCCTCGAGCGGTTTAGTGGCTTCTCCCTGCAGCCCGTTGGAGTCGGCGGCAATGGTCTTCTGTCTGGAAAACGAGGCGCCGCGCCGCCCGCTGCGAAGCGCCATGGTCCACTTCCAAGCTTCAGAAGTCCAGCAGCTGCTACACAACAAGTTCGTGGTCATCTTGGGGGACTCCAGTGAGTGCCCCTTCTAGGATGACACGTCCCAGTCTCGCACCTACAACCTGTTCCCTCTGTCTGTACCCTTTGTCTCTATCTGAAACTTCTAGGGCCCTTAGTCTGTTCCAGTCTAGTAGACTTTCCCTTCTTTTTGTTCCCCACACCTTCTGCAAGTGTGTTGACTGATGCAACCCGTGCACTCTTTAGCCTATCCGTGGTTAGCTTTTTTCTCCCCTTTACAATCCCCCTAATTTCCCCAAAAGCTGTGGATTGTGTTGTGTGTCTTCTGGGTGACTTGGCCAACTTAATTGTGCCAGGAGACCTTGGTCACTGTATACTAAGTTGGCAGAGAGGGGCGCAGAAGGAACAGAGATAGTGCCAGTGTTTTTTAACCTCACCTGTCTCCTTTTCTAAGTCAACACACCAAGCTGGTGTTAGTCAGCCCAGCCCTCAGAAAGATGGGAGGCTTGGATTGGAAGAAGATAGGATGGGATAAGGTCTGTTTCAGACTTAGGTTCTCTGTCTCCTTGCAGTCCAGAGAGCTGTGTATAAGGACCTGGTGCTTCTGCTCCAGAAAGACTCACTGCTCACAGTTGCCCAATTGAAAGCCAAGGTGAGGGACGCTTGGCAGCTATGCTAATGGTGGATGGGTACTGCCCCTGGCTTGGCAGGGACCACCACCCTGACATGGGTCTGACCAGTGGGGTTGGGGGTGGGCAGGGGGAGCTGAGCTTTGAACAGGACCAGCTTGTGGCTGGGGGCCAGCTGGGTGAGCTGCACAACGGGACACAGTATCGTGAAGTCCGCCAATTCTGCTCCGGTTCTGGCCACCACCTTGTGCGCTTCTACTTCCTCACCCGAGTTTACTCCGAATACCTGGAGGACATCCTGGAGGAGCTGACATATGGGCCTGCCCCGGACCTGGTGATCATCAACTCTTGCCTTTGGGATCTCTCCAGGTTGGCGTGGGAGAGGGGGCAGTTCTGGCTGGAGGTGGAGGTGTGTGGCTCCACCCTGGTGCACCTATCTGCTCTGTGTTACCCAACAGGTATGGCCGCTGCTCAATGGACAGCTACCGAGAGAACCTGGAACGAGTGTTTGTACGCATGGACCAGGTGTTGCCAGACTCCTGTCTGCTGGTGTGGAACATGGCAATGCCCCTGGGGGAACGTGTCACTGGGGGTTTCCTACTGCCAGAGGCAAGTGACAGGTCCACTTGGACACGGGATGGGACAGTTGGCTGGTAGGTAGGGGATCCTCTGAGAAGCTGCATTTTTTCACTCAGCTCCAGCCCCTGGCAGCCACTTTGCGACGGGATGTGGTTGAGGGGAACTTCTATAGTGCTACACTGGCTGGGGACCACTACTTCGATGTTCTGGATCTCCACTTTCATTTCCGGCATGCAGTACACCATCGTCATCGAGATGGTGTCCACTGGGACCAACATGCACACCGTCACCTCTCACACTTGCTTCTGACTCATGTGGCCGATGCCTGGGGCGTGGAGCTGCCCAAGCGGGACCATCCCCCTGGTGAGCCCTACCACAGAGGGGGTGGGAAGTGATGCAGAGGGCCCTCAGAGCATAGAGCTTAGGAACAGAACACAACAGACATACTCATGAAGGGTAGGGGTTCCTTGAAGGTCTTTTGGAGCTTTTGAGTGCTCCTTTCTCAGTTCCTGGGAAGGGTTAGATCACAGGAGTAACAGTTTAGTCTGAGTTCCAGGTCTTTACAGCTCTGTAGTCGCCTTTGTACATGAGTAAGTTTAACATAAATATTGATTACAAAAGGCGAGGTTTCAGAGACCAGGGATATAATTAGCAGCACAGCCCCTCCCTGGCAAACTCGAGGTCCTGAGTTCGATTCCCAGTGTACACACACATAAAGGCAAGGTGTCAGAAGACCACACCTAAAGGATGAACAGAAAATAAATGGGATATTTCTAGCTAGGCACAAGTATGGGGACAGAAATGGAGGAAAGGAGGTCCAGACTGTATGGCAGAGGCAAAGGAGCTCACCAGTGAGGGGATTGAGGAGTGCACAGTCAGCTGGAAGGGTGTTGTGCATGGACATGATGTAATCTTTAGGGTGTGAAAGGTCAGTCTCTTGGGGCTGGGCCCAGTGACAACATTCCCTGGGCTCCTCAGGTTACCCTGAGGGTCCCAGTGTCTCTGGCTTCAGCTTAGTGCACATTAGCTAGTCCCCTCTCTGGTCATTGGTGGAGACTTCTGAGGGTTCCAGTGAGTTCTCTTGGGGCACTGCTCTTCGCACTTCTGCTGTAGAGCCGTTGTTTCCTTGTTATCCTCCCAGTCTCTGCCTCACAAAGGGGGATTATGGCAGAATGTTTCTATATCTGCCTGTCCTCACAGGACAGGGTCCTGCCTCATTTGTCCACGGTTCACTCCTTTCAGCCCTCTGTATACGCTACCAGTGGATAGGATTTGTTGAATTGGAGGCACAAGTCATTTTAGTAGCTAAAATGCACTAGAGTATGTGGTTCCATTTTCTTGTTTTTTTATTGGAAGAATGGATTCCCCACAAAGGACAGGATGTTCTAAAGGTTGTGAAGCTAGTTTGTGGTGGCTCAGGCCTTCAAAATCTAATTTGGAGCTATGGAAATTTAAAAGCATTAGAAGAGTTGATTTGGGTGGAAGCTTGAGTGAGTGAATTTGATTAGGGAGGATCTGTTTGAGCTACTGTGGAAATACAGAATAGATCTGGAGTCAGCAATATCCAGTAGAGTTGGAAGTGGAGGGCATGAGTGTGAACTGTAAAGGAGAAAGCAGAATAACACTCATACTTTGGATTAGCAGGGAAGAGGGGTGATGGTGGAAACAAAAGAAGATGAAGGTAGAGGCACTTTCAGGGAGGACCAAGGCTATTGGTAATGTCACATGACCATTGGGGAAGAAAAGGCTTTACTGAATTTGTCAGTGAGTGGTTATGTATAGCAAAAAAAGCATTGAAGATTGAAGGCGTGGAGTGGAGTTAGAACAGGCAGTGTGCACCTGATAAGGGATAGAGATGGGACAAACTTCCTTATAGAAGCTTGGGAGATGGAGGGAGCTAGTGAAAGGCAAGGTAGGGGTCTTTGCATTTGCCTGGGGGTTGGAGTTGGGGAGAGCAAAGAGCTAAAGATACAGGAAGTAAACAAAGGGAATAGACCTAGGAGGGGAGCATGAGGTCAAAACAAAGGTAGATGTGAGAGGCAAGAAAGAAGGAGCCTACTTTGGGCTTGGCCTGAAGTGAGAGAAAATGAGAAGTGGAGCGAAGGCATGGTGCGCTCTGGCCGAGTGGCTGTGTTCTCCAAGAGGATAGAGTAGAGCTCTGGAAGTATGGATTGTTGGCATTTAGGCCAGCCTGGTGCCCAGGCCTACCTAAAACAATCATCCCATTCCTAGACCCATGGATTGAGGACTGGCCAGAGATGGATCGTCGGTTCCAGGGAAGCTATAGGCAGCCCCCGGACTTCGGGGAGCAACTGGCCTTGCCCCCACCCCCACCCCCTCCTTTACCCCCTCCTATGTCTTTTTCCTACCCTCTTCCACAGCCTTCCCCACCTCCCTTGTTCCCACCCTTGCCCCAGGATGCCCCTTTTTACCCAGGCCAGCCCTTCCCACCCCAGGAATTCTTCAGTTATAATCCAGTGGAAGACTTCTCAGTGCCTCCCAATTTAGGTATGTGCCTCTGCAGTCCCCTCTTGCACCTCTCCTTGCAGCCTTCCCTTGCACCTCCTGAGCCCAGCCTCCCATGCCAAGGTGTGCTGAGAGGAGCTGAGTACCCCTTGTTCCTCCAGGACTAACTTTGGTTACAGGAGTCCCTTAGTTTGGAACAGCTTCTGTAGACACAGTCAGGTCACTGATTGTCACAGGTTCCGAGTGGGGAGGTAGGGGAGGTGGTGTTCCTGCTGTGCAGACAGGGAAACCTAAGCCTAGAGACATTCACCCTGCAGGAGTAGAGCCGTGCTCACCCTGGTCAGAAGCCCACTCCCGATAATGACTGGTTTTTTTGCAGGGTGTGGCCCTGGAGTGAACTTTGTGCCTGGCCCCCTGCCACCTCCAGTCCATGGCTGTGTCTCCCATGGTCAGCACCGGGGCCCAGTGGTCCACCGGGGGATGCCACGCTGTGTTCCCAACAGCCCCTACCATGTGCCAAGGTTGGGGGCACCCTGCAGGCAGCGACTCAGGCACTCAGAGAGACTGATCCACACATACAAACTGGACAGGCGGGGACATACTCATTCAGGAACATGGCCTGGGTAGACTGGGTTTTGGGCTGGGGTTGGATGTGCCATCAGTCCTGCAGGGCCTAGCTGGCACACAGGTGCTGGGCCAGGGTGTCTGCTATGCCTGGCATTTTTCTTGTCCATTGCTGTTACCAATAAAGGCATGGAAGGACAGAGTGACATATTCCTGTGTAAGGGAGCGGGTCTTCTAAGCCATATCTTAAAAGTTGAGATGGTTGCCTCAGGACTTTGGCTCTACGCTATTTGGAAATCACTGAATGTGCTCTTCTAACATTCATTTCCACATTCAGGAAAATAAGTATGCTTAAACGAGATCCTGGATTGGTTCCCTGTTGTCAAGAGCTCTCTGCAACTGAGAAAAAATCAAGGGCTGATGGATTTTTTTTGTTTTTTTTTCTGGTACCAGGTATCGAACTCATGACCTTGCACTTGCCAGGCAGGCACTGTGCTACTGAGCTAAATCCCCAGCCCCACAAGGGCTGGTTGGAATTGTCAATATTTTTTTGGAATTTTGGATCTGGCTAATTGTTTTTTTTTTTTTTTTTTTCTGGTACCGGGAATCGAACTCATGACCTTGCGCTTGCCAGGCAGGCGCTATGCCGCTGAGCTAAACCCCCAGCCCCAGGATCTGGCTAATTCTTATCCATACCTCCCAGTCACCTTCAGTATCCATCTCTCCCTGGAGATAGTCACATACCAGCCAGGCGTGGTGGCACTCACCTAAAAGCCCTGTGCTCAGGAAGCTGAGGCAGGAGGATTGCTGTGAGTTCAAGGTCAGCCTGAACTACACAGTGAAACCCTGTCTTGAAAAAAAGAAAGAAAAGAAGAAACCCTGTCTCAAAAAAAATACCCTCTTTTGTGTAATTCTTGGCACACAGAAGGCATTCAATAAGTGGTTGGAACTAAACAAGAAGCTCCCAAATCGGAGTGGAAGAATGATTAGAAACCCATTAATTACTTGAATAATGTGGAGTGGGAATAGAGCCAAAGACCAATTCTTTGGTCAGGGAGCACAGATGAACTAAAGGAGAAGAAATCCAAGGAGTGCAGGCCAGGGGTTGTGATGAAGAGGCTGTGCTGAAATCCACAGAAGCAAAGCCAAGGGTACAAGACCTCAGCTTTGACAAGTGGTCCTGACCCTGGAACATCAGAGGTGGGGTGTTGGCTGAAATACGGGGAGGGATGGGGGTGGCACATGGCAGTGGGCTGCTGAGTGAGGTAGGGGCAGCAAAGTAAGATAGCATGAAGTCATGTTAAATAAGCCTGAGGTAAAATGGAAAGAGGATGGATGCAGAGTTCTTACACTGGCTTTTTATTATTATTAATGAAACCTTGGTAAAGAACATTCTCATCTCACCCAAAAGGAGACAAAAATAGGTCAGAAAGGGTTGATCCTGGCTAGCAATCTATGAGAATAAATGCAAATGAGAGGAAGTGGTTAACACACACTGGTGCTGAGAAAATGGTCAATATACACTAATAAAACCCTTTAGAGGAACCAGTTGAGACAGTGGACACAGGCACCAGCCTTGTGTCTGAAACAAATATGTCTGACTTGCTTGTTTATACTGCAAGGGGCCATACAGAGCTGAATGAAAGTTGTGTTTGCGGAATGGGGCTGGAATCCAGGGCATCATGTGTGCTAGGAAAGTGCTATAATGCTTTTAGGTCCCTTTTTTATTTTAAGGTAGTATATCTAATTTGCCCAGGCTGGCCTTAAATTTGCAGTCTTCCTGCCTCAGCCTCCCAAGTGGGTGGGTTTACAGGCGTGTGCCACCACACCAGGCTGGGAAGCTTTTTGTAAAAAAAAAAGAAAAAAGAAATTAACACGGATGGGATTGTAGATTATTTTCTTTGCAAAAATTGTTTTTTTCTTCTTTCCATTAGCAAAACCCACTCTTGAAGCAGCCCTCTTCCTTTGCATCCAGTTTGCCCAATCCCTTTTCATTCCTGTATGCTTTTGCTTCTCTCTTCTCTATTCAGACACCTCTCAGTGTTGCTGGAGAAAACTGTACACATGGTCTGATTTTCAGGAGAAAGCAGTGAGTTTCTCAGCTTTACTGAGCCTTTCCTGTTATGTGCCATCCTATTCTCCAAGAATCTCCGGTCCCTTTCCCTGCTGAGCCTTTCTAAGGCTTTCCACTTGATTCTGGAAGTCCTTCTGATTCCGGAACTCTGGAGGCAGCCTTGGGATGGGGTAATGTGCTCACTATCCCTGCATTCTACCTCTGTATATGTAATTCCAATCCCATTTGGCTACATGGCTTGCATCACCCAAGGTGTGGTATCTTCTTTTTAGTCAGATATTTTTTAGGGGAAGGGTTAAGACAGTGTCTTGCTCTATAGTTCAGGCTGCTCTTGAACTCATGACAATCCTAGAAAATCCTCCTGCCTCAGCCTCCCAAGTGCTGGGGTTACAGGCACATGCCACCACGCTTGGCATAAAATTTGATGAAATAGTAAATATTCTCTCCGTTTTTTTGGGTACCAGAAACTCAGGACCTTGTGCTTTGCAGTCAGGCATTGTGCTGCTCAGTTATATCTGCGGCCCAGTAAATATTCCTTTAAACTTGAAATTTATCAAGGAATAAAAGAAAATAAAGTGTTTTATTTTCAGTTTGTTGTAATATGAGCATATAGTACAAAAACTAAAAATTTGATGCCTCCAACTGGGTGCAGTGGTGCACACCTGTAGTCTCAACACCCTAGAAGGCTGAGGCAGGAAGATAGCAAGTTCAAACCCAAGTTCAATTTAGTGAGACCCTGTCAAAAAAAAAAAAGTTGACTCTTCTATTACATATTTTATACAGATATGCCTGGGAAGCAGGAATCTTAAAATAGATTTATACAGGCCATCCATCATTTGTATTTAAATTATTTGCTGGATTTTGTTTTGAGATGCAAAAATAATGAAAATCTGAGGCAGCTCATGCAGAGGTCCACTAGTGGCTGGTGAAGCTGCACAAAACTCACCCTGTATCACCACAGAAAGCATTGACAATGGACCACTGACAAGTCATTCAATAAGACAAGTTTTCTGTTTTATAAGAATGGATCCAATATTCACTCCTTTGCCATACCAAAATATTCCTAAAAGGACTGAGGTGTGCAAAAGCACCTCAGTTGTGAGGTTAGCATGGTGGATGGGGTGCAGGTTGAACCTAGGACTTCACACGGAGCCACATGCCCTGCCCTTTTTTATTTTGAGATAGTCTCACCGAGTGGCTAAATTGCCGAGGTTGTACTTGGATTCTGTGATCCTCCAGATCCACCCCCCAGGAGTGCTAGGATTACAGGCTTGCATCACCATGTCTGGCTATTTTTTTTTTCTTTCTTTCTTTCTTTTTCTTTCTTTCTTTCTTTCTTTCTTTCTTTCTTTCTTTCTTTCTTTCTTTCTTTCTTTCTTTCTT